ATGTATCAGGGTAGTGTTGTTTTATTAAGTGTATCACATCGTATTTTTTCGTTAATTTATGAAGGGTATCACAGTGTGCATCATTTCTTTACCGGAATAAGGTTCGYCGGAGAGATGAATAAGGTTCGCCGGAGAGAGGATGGTGGAGAGAGGAGATTTTAAAAATACCTAAAATGCCCTTTAATTGAATTTTTAAGTCAAATTACCAAAATTATCAGTTTCCTAATTTATCCATTGATTCGTGGTTGAGATTGGTTCTCACAGTTACCACAAACAACTCAGTTCTCCCTTGAATGACCCCCTATATATATATATATATATATATATATAGAGAGAGAGAGAGAGAGAGAGAGAGGGGAATGAGTTTCAAATACAAACCATGTAATTGTTACAAACTCTATAAATAAAATTGGGCCCTTGATTTTGTTTATTTTAAAATTTAAAGTTGCTTATTAAATCAGTTAAAGATGAGGTTGAGAGTAAATATTTATGAACCAATTTAATCTAGGCCATTGATCATTTACACAGATGGTTTGCTACTGGTTTGTATGGTTTATAACAATTACATAGTTTGTATTTAAACTTAATATGGATGCATATATGGAGGATCAAATAGGAACATGATCAAAATAAGAGAATATAAAAATAATTAAATCACACATGAATTTCCACTGAAATCACATGCAATTACAGAACATGATTAACTCAAAGGATGTGCGGCAACTTGGCCCGCGACCTAAGTCACAACTAAGGTTGCACGAATCAGGTGTGATTAAAAATTTTACATGTGATTTGACATGTTTTCTTTTATTTGGTCACTGTTTCTCGTTTGAATGGACTATATATATATATATATAGAGAGAGAGAGAGAGAGAGAGAGAGAGAGAGATGGTTTATTTTGCAACTTATTCCATTTGTACAATTAATGCAACTTCATCTTAACCATCAAATAGTTCATCTAAGGTAAGCATTTCATAAGGTGAAAAAGGTAGTTACACATTATCAATTAAAAAATTTAAAAATAAAACAAAATGAAATAGATGGTTTAGATCAGAGTTGTATTGGTTGTAAAAATGAAATAAGTTTTACATATATATATATATATATATATATATGGGTTTAATCAAATGAGAACTAATTAGTTTGTGGTATATATATATATATATATATGTATATTTATTTATTTATTGGAGGGAGGGAGGGATTTTATTAGTAGTTTTGGGACCAAATTGAAAAATAACTTATAAAGAGGGCAAAAATGTAGGTGGAAGTATAATTAAGGACTATTTTTGTAACCAAGTAGTTTTTATTTTAATAAAGAAAAAAAAAAAAAGAGAGCGTTCGCACGTGTCGCATACACCTTCCAACCCAATCGCACGTGTTTGTCCACCAAAGTCCCCTGCTTTTCGATTGTTCTATAAATTGAGAACCTGTATCTCATATCCTAGACATAATCCAATCCCCGCAGACACCGCTCTTCTCTCCTCCCCTCCCCTCTCCCACACGCACAACACACTCACTGTGTGAACCCAAAACAAATTCAACTTAAACCACCAAAAAGTCACCGGTTTATTCCACCACCACCACCACCACCATCACACACATAAAGCATGGCCGCCAAGCTACTTCTGTTGTTCGCTATATGCCGTCTCATCGTCATCGTTGGATTAACTCTCGACCCTACCACCGACCCGATCGTGATAGTCGGAATGGACGGTCAATTAAGCGTCGATCGCCACGACATCGAGTCTGTTTCAGTCGACTTCGGTAAGATGACCCGAACCGAACCGACTGCAGTTCTCCATCCGGCATCCTCCGACGACGTCGTAAAGCTAGTGAGGTTAGCTTACGAGTCGGCTCACGGATTCTCCGTGTCGGCTAGAGGCCACGGCCATTCAATCAACGGCCAATCTCAAACCGGCAATGGAGTAGTGATTAAAATGAGCGGATCGAGAAGAAATCCGCCGGTGCCAGTGGTCTCCGAGAAGTTGATGTATGTGGACGCGTGGGGTGGGGAGCTTTGGATTGATGTGCTCAAGTCCACGCTAAAATATGGAGTCGCACCTAAATCGTGGACTGATTACTTATACCTTTCTGTTGGTGGTACACTCTCTAATGCAGGAATCAGTGGGCAAGCATTCAACCATGGCCCTCAGATCAACAATGTTCATGAGATGGATGTGGTCACAGGTACATCATATATAATCCCTACATGCATAAATATATAAAATGACAGAAACGGTTAGCGTCATGCATTACTTACTTGTACCGTACAACCATCAGACTCCCCTTCCTTGTCCATAAATTTTGGCATGCATTCCATTTTCCATTTTTTCATTTTTTCATTTTTTTTTCAATTACATTAAATATTATTGACCAATTGCAGGAAAAGGTGAGTTGTTGACATGCTCCATGGATAAAAACCCGCAACTGTTTCATGCTGTTCTTGGCGGGTTGGGTCAATTCGGGATCATAACCAGAGCTAGAATCGCATTAGAACATGCGCCTCAAAGAGTATGTATCGATCCATCCATTCTTTTTCTTCAAATTCTTTGTGATTTTTGTTTTAAAAAAAATTAAAGATTTCAATAATAAATATAATTTTTAGATATTATTTTAAGGAGCTCTTTAAATTTTTCAGATTTTATTGTCATGGCTTACTTTATTGTAAAGAATTTGTTGGAATTTGTTGAAAATGCATTAAATGATTGAATCAAGAAATCATCTTTAAAGATCAATGGTGGTTATTGGTGGTTGAACTGTATTATCACATGTGATAAATAAGGTTCTTGAATTCAACTGTTAATTAATTAGTGTGTATATATATATATTGTTGTTTTCAGGTTAGATGGATTCGGGTTTTGTATTCGAATTTCTCGGCTTTTACTCATGATCAAGAGTATCTAATATCGTTACACGATCAACCACAATCTCAAAAGTTTGATTACGTCGAGGGTTCTGTAATCGTTGACGAAGGCCTAATCAACAACTGGAGATCGTCTTTCTTCTCCCCTAAAAACCCCGTCAAGATTTCATCTCTTGGCGCCGGTGGGAATGTCTTGTACTGCTTGGAAATCACCAAGAATTACTACGCCGACTCTAACCCAAAATCGATCGATCAGGTAAATTTCTGATTTTTCTTTCCGGGTACGGTTAATATATATTTGGAACTTTATATACGGAAAAATACATACATTTTGATGAAGTTTGAATTCCTGACTTACAAAAAATTTTGGTTTTACCGGTAATCTGGATGTCTATAGGCCAACGAACCTTTGGTAAGATCCTATATTTTTAATAGGTGGGAAGCATGTGAATAATGCAAAAAAGTACCAAAAGATCCATGTTAAAAGTGAAAAGTGATTTGAATGTAACATGCAACCCCATTCTAGCATCGAAAACTAAATGCAGGCTTTGCATCTTTACACCATAAATATTTAATAGAATCTTTTTCGGTTTTCCCTTAACAAGAAACCTACAAGATCTTGTTCAACAATACACATCGCACTCGGGTTTTTTTTTTTTTTCCATTTGAGAAGAAAATAAAACGAATCCGTAGTCGATATATATGAAAGATATTAAATTTATTTAAGTGTTTTAGAATATTCTTTATTGCTTATTTTGTAGCTTGGATAATACTTTACACGTATGAGTTGAGATTTTGTAATTGGGGGATCGTTATTTAGTCGAGATTTGAAAACGACATGCCTCGTTATGAAGGTGGGTTATGTGAATGGTTTAATACATGATTAATTAATTAATTAATTAATTAATTAATTATATATACATACATATATATATATATATATAGAGAGAGAGAGAGAGTGTGTGTGTGTGTGTGAGAGAGAGAGAGAGAGAGAGAGAGAGATAGCACAAGAAAACATGGAAGATCTTGTGTGATCTATCGGGCTATTTGATACGATGATTGACGACAAACTTTAGCATTATTTTAATGAAGAATTAGTTATATATACATCTACGCCGTCCACCCACCAAATTATTAGCGCCTAATAATTCAGTTTGTTGATTAATTAAAGACGTAACTGAACTTATCCCCTGACAAAAGGAAGTCTTTGGTGGCTGTTATTTTTAATTCATGTACTTGACATCTTTCTGTGTTAAAAATTCAGGGTTTTTCTTGTTGTGGGTTTTAATTAATATTTGTTTCTGCAGGAAGTTGAAGGTTTGTTGAAGAGATTAAACTATATACCAGCATCAACCTTCACTAGTGACCTGCCTTACGTGGATTTCTTGGACCGGGTTCACAAGGCTGAGAAGAGGCTCCGGTCCAAGGGGTTGTGGGAGGTACCCCACCCATGGCTTAACCTGTTTGTACCCAAATCAAGAATTGGGGATTTCGATAAAGGAGTGTTCAAGGGCATTTTGGGTAATAAGACTAGTGGCCCCATCCTCATCTACCCCATGAACAAAAACAAGTAAGGATCTTCTTCCCTCAACATCTCCATCTCTTCATACTTTTAATTTCAATATTTCATATTTGATAGAAAAATATGGAAAATTTTGCATATAGGAATGAGGGGATTGGCTCAAATGGGAATCTTGTACATATTTTAAGAATTGATAATGAATTGCCATAAGTATATATGCATCAAATACATGTATGAAGTTGCTACCTTGCCCATGCATGCATATGTGTTGTACAACTCATCCATACATGGTATATGATGATGATGCATCATCATATATATATATATTCATCTCCTTTGGATAACCCTCTGACACAATATGAAGTCATGTTCTTGACTCTGGTTCTGTGTTGGTATGCAATGCAATGCTAGTGTGGTGGCCCATTCTTAGCCAATTCTGACTCCATCATCATCGTACATACATATTCAAAATGGACCAACTTACTTCACATACATATGAGTGAATTTATACCAAACTCTCATTTCTATATTTTCTGATCTCATTTGAAATTAAGATTAAGCTAGCTTGTTGTTTAGCACACATCTAAACCATACAAAACACCCATGTTGCTTTGGAAATCTGTACCAAAAATCACATCATAACATTGAAAATATTAATAAGATAGAAATTAGAAGATGGTCCAAGTGGGAAGATACTGATGTCAGATGAGATCTTCCATGAGGGACCCATTAATGAGATGGTAATCCATGTCCTGTTACATGATAGTACAACAAACATTGCGGTTATGCCACCCTTTGTGGACCTTCTTAATTCTTATTGAGTTAGATTTGGATACTCTTGGAAAATAATTTAACAAGTGAAATGTTTGTTGGAGCGTAATTAAAGTAAGTTTGGTATGTCTTTATATAGGTGGAATGAAAACGTATCAGTGGTGACACCAGATGAGGACATATTTTACTTGGTGGCGTTGCTTCGATCCGCATTGGATAATGGGGAAGAGACATTGACGCTAAAACACTTGCTTGAAGAAAACCGCAAGATTTTGAAGTTTTGTAAGGAATCGAAGATCAAAGTGAAACAGTATTTGCCGCACTATACGACGCAAAAGGAATGGATGGAGCATTACGGAGAAAAATGGCCCCAGATTCATCAGAGGAAAATGGAGTTTGACCCTCATCACATATTAGCCACCGGCCAAAGAATATTCGAGCCTGGTTTTTCTTCCATTACAAGATCGTGGTGAGCTAGAAAAGTACGGGAAAAGATAGTAGTAGTGGTATAAGCAGACAACAGTTACTGACCTCTCATGTACATAATGATGCAATGCAACGTTATAATAGAAGAGGAAATTAACCGTTTTTTTGTCCTTAAAAGAGTACGTACATTGGTTGTTTAGATTGATGGTTTTTGTTTCGAGAGTTGGGTTTGTTTGTGAAACCTGTGCGGTTTATAAATGGGAGAGTGTTAGACACACTTTGAGGTTCTATCGTAGTTATGGAATGAATACAATTCAAGAGTTTTGATAACTATGGTATTCGATATTGTGAGGTTATTAGAAAATTGTGATCCCAGTTTGATGAAAATTTTGAAGTACATAATATTTGTAAATGACGAATTAAGCTCACACTAGGCCAAAGATTGAAAAACCAATCCAGATGTTTTATTTTATCTTTGTTATTTTAACTTCTTTTTTTCCCTTGGACCAGACCAAAAACCCAGACTAAACAGATTATATCGGGCTTTTTCGGACCAGACGAGATCAAGACGAACTTCTTTTTTTCGAATCAGACCGGTCTTGCGTGAGAATATATGAACAACCCTGTATTACTTTTCAAAAGACCCCTCCCTGATGAGAGAAAGAAGATTCTGACATATATAAAGAATATATGTCCAAGTCTAGCCGTCGTGAGAATCTAACATCCTGTTGGACCAGGCCCAACTGCTTATTTAGGTTTGGTCTTTACTTTGCTGGACCCGAACCAGTCTAGACTTCTTTGAATTGTGGTTACTTGACTTTAGCCACGAACTTTTTCCTGGATCAATTTGTGTGCAACTCTTCATTGATCTATGAAATGCGAAAATGGGTTGATTTCCCTAAAATTATCAACATAGATACGAATACTTAGATTTCAAAAAATCGGACTTGAACTTGTAATCTCATGTGTCAAGAAACCCGAATTTTGCCAACCCTCTGGAGAATTACCATTTTAAGAAATAAAATCCTACATTTAATATTTTGGATTAACCAATACCAACAATCACCATAACAATATCAAATAAAAAAGTATCTAAAAACCGGAATTTACAAATTAAAATTTTAATAAAAATAAAAACAAAAAAAATACTTTTGTTTTATAGGTGTGTGGTTTCTTTGTAAATGTTAAATGGGCTTATTTAAGTATGTATGTGAGAATCGGCCCATTGGGCTTTTGGAGTTATTTATTAGGCTCAACCCAATTTGCCAACCAAATTTGTTCAAGCCCAATGTTATTTTACACACATGTCCAACATATATGGGTAAAAAGTTGATTACTGGCAATTCTAATCGGTTTAATACCCTACCTACCGATCTCTAAGAAAATTAATGTGAGAGGGTACTTTTTGACTCACTCGGTTACTAGGGTGGGTGCGATCAAACCCACGAGATGTCTTGTATTTGAGCAAAGTCGTCCCGCATTTTTGTCAACTGAACTACCTGTCATAGGTCATGTTCAAATAATAAAAAACCTTAATTTCTACCAATTTTAAGCAAGACGTATAAGGAGTTTGTTTGAGCATATGGCCATGAGGCATCGACTTACACAAACTTTGTTGCGTGTAACTTTTACGTTGTAACCAGTAATATAGTATATATGGAAAAATTATTAATTTGATCATTTGAAGTTGCAGTGTTAAAAGATTCTGTTTTTATTTTTTATTTTACATTATGTTATATTTTCATATAATTTTTATCATTCTTTTTTGTTTTATTTGTTAATTTAAAATATGATAAGATTCTTAAAATGATAATCGATCTTCCACAAAATTTTGAGTATATGAAACTCCCATTCGTCAAAAAAACTATATATTATATATACATTTGAAAAAAAAATAACAAGAAGTTTTTATAAAATTTGGTGTTAAAACAAATCAAGTTTAATATTTCCATTAAATATAATCATTTAAAAAAATCATGGTTATAACAAATGTCATGTTTGAACTTTATTGTAATAAATGTACACATGTAATTTCCAGGATGAATCGAGTATCGCGATTTATGACTCTCGTCTAAAATCAGTTCACAGTTGTTCCCAAAACGTGGTATCCAAAATTCTGCTTTGGAAACATAGAATATCCTTATCGTTCTTTTTCAGGGTTGAAGTTATTCCACCAACTCTTTCGGCTTTGAAATTTTCTTCTTTTATAGATTCACTTTGACATCTTCGGATTTCCTTAAGAACGTCGGGATTAGGTTTATTCTTAATGCAATGGCTTTTATGTTCCACTCGTTTTATTCCGACTAAGCGCGTCAGCCACCACGTTTGCCTTCCTAGGGTGATAAAGGTTTAGCAGTCATAGTCGTTTACCACTTCAATTCATCGTCTTTGCCGCATATTTTGTTCCTTCTAATTAAAAAAATGTTGAAGGCTTTTATGATCAGTCAAAATATGACATTTGGTTCCCAACAAATAATGACTCCAAATCTTTAATGCAAAAAACGATGGCCGCAAGCTCCATGTCATGAGTCGGGTACTGTTTCTCGTGATCTTTTAATTGTCTGGAAGCATAAGCAATAACTTTACACCTCTGTATTAATACACACTCCAGATCCATTTTGAAGCATCACTGTATACCACAAAATCTACAAACCCATCTAGTAACGACAATATCGGAGCACTACATAGACGATCTTTCAACAACTAGAAAGTTTTACCCTGAACTTTTCCCTATTTATACTTAACATTTTTTCTTGTTATCTTGGTCAAAGATGCATCAATAAATGAGAAATCTTGAATAAATTTCCGATAATACCCCACCAGACCTAAGAATTTTTGAATCTCGGTGGGGGTTCTCAGTACTCCTCATTTCTCAATAGCCTCAATATTTGTAGGATCTACTTTTACCCCTGCCTCAAGAACAATATGACCCAAGAACTGGACTTCCCTCAACTAAAACTCACACTTGGACAACTTGGTATACAATTTCTCTTTCTTCAAAAGTTCGAGAATTAAACGAAGATGCTCAGCATGCTCCGCTCGCATTCGTGAATATATAAGAATATCGTCGATAAATACAATAACAAGTTTATCAAGATATTCATTATATAACTGGTTCATTAAATCCATAAACGTTGTTGGAGCACTCGTTAGACCGAACGACATGACTAAGAACTCATGATGTTTGTATTTTGTTTAGAACGCAGCTTTGGCAATGTCTTCGTGAACGATATAAATGACAAGTTTTCTTGTCGGCGACTTTCTCAAGTCTACCTCTCATAACATTCAAGTTGGCGTGTATTCAATGACTTATCTCTAAAACCATGACACTTTAACACTTTCAAAGTGATCGACTTGTCAAGAAGTGTCATTGATTTTTATAAACTTGAATGAAATAGTGGAACGTTGTTATTGCAGAACAACGTCCATTTTTCTTCTGTTTAAAATCTCACCTTTTGTCTCACACATAAGCTAACGGAATTAGCTACTCATAACAGAAAATAAATGACAAGAAAAATAAATAACGGAAAGTAAAGACATAAATATAAATTACGGAAAGTAAATGACTTAACGTTATGAGCGGAAAGTAAATGACGGAAAACAAATAACGGAAAGTAAAGAGCAAACTTAAAAGTAATTTCGAAACTTAAATTGTTTCAAAGTTTAGAGAGATATCAATTTAAGAACTGGTTTTTGGGATGATTTTATGAGCTACCATGAGATACTATTTATATAAAAGAGCCCAACAAGATGACACAAGCCATGAAAAAACCAATGTTCCTAAAAGAGAAAATGTAGCATCACATCAAAACAAAAGTAACCACCAAAAGCCTTCAACCCAGCTGTATAGGTCTTTATCCACATGATTAACAAAATTTGTCTCATTCCTTAAGCAACAACTGAATCCTTAAGTTCTTTCGAAAAAATCGCTTCATGATAGTTTAGTGCTGGAATGTTGCGGCACAAAACGATATGCTTTCAAGTTTAAAAATTTTCTACTCTAATGGTGCAAAGACAAGTTAATCACTTAATTTAGCTTCAAGTATAAATAAATAAAAAATAATGTAATAAAAAAGACTCAAGGTTAGGATAAAAGAAAATAAACTAACTAAAAATTAGGAAATAGTTGTTTTATACATTGAATAATCAATGCACATCACATCGTATCACACAGATGTGACAACTCCAAGACATCGTATCATAAGGATACGGTAACATAAAACACTCTGATCAAAAACCCAGGTTTTATATTCCAATTATTATGTCATCCTTATCCTGGTATATACTTCTCCTTGATATGTCACATTTATCCCAGTATACATATCTCCTTGATATGACACCCTTATGACCAAAATACACATCTCATTGATATACCACCCTTATTCCAAACACATGATATAATATATCCAAAAATCTCACGATTATGCTAATTAAAACATCAAAAACAGTTTTATAGCATCATCATATAAAAAACCATACAGTTCAAATCTCAACACCAAATAAGGAAAGTTTATAAAATAAGTCACCTTATTATTCACATAGATTAAGATATGAAGATGAATAACAACTAATCCAGTTTAAGAAATCACATAATCAACTCCCTTTTTTCCTTTCTCTATCGGTTTTCTTTTCCTCGGGTTTAAAGAGTACACACACAGAGAAAATTCTTACCAACTTTCCTTTTTAATCATATACCATCTCAATGAGATAAATAGAACTATCTCATTATATTATGATATTAAAGAAAAGAGGTGATGGCATGATTCAAAACATTTAAACATATTAACCACAATAACCCCTTAACTTATCACCACTTTTCAAAAACAGCCCCAAACTTTATAACCGAATAACCGGTTATCACATGAACCAACCCAATTACCATCCAATTTATACATCCAAAGATAACCCACCAATACCATTCAGTTATCATCCAATTAATAATTTAATATATTATTTATTTTTTTTATTTAACAAAAACTAAAAAATTGAAAAAGAAAATAGCTAAAACTAAAAATCTAAAACACAAACAAGAGCTAAGATGTAAAGAGTAAGTATCCATTTCAAATTATTTAAAAATTTCCATTTTCAAAATAAAAACCCTAAGAAGCTGGCAGCTCTTCACGCAAACTGAATACTGCAGCTCTTCATGCTGACGGCTGATCGATTACTGC